TCTCTCTCTCTCTCTCTCTCTCTCTCTCTCTCCTCCGCTTTCATTTTCTCTTTCCCAAGTACTGTAATTCTGATTCCACGAACTACCGTTCCAGTCCTTTCAACATAACGTTGAGAACTGTTCACTGTACTTTCTGCACTGTTCCTTATTCTACTTTTTTTTCTTCTCACAGATGGTCGTGTCCGTTGCAGCATCAACTGTCTCCCGAAGTGCTCTCTTGGTGACGGTTTGACATGACGTCATTCCTCTCAAGTTTTCCTGTAGTAGGAAAGGGCATATCACGAGAGAGTACTGTGCCAGGTAAACACTCATAAAGAAGATCAACAGGCAGTACCAGAACTCACTGCACAAACGTTTGACATTTGATTGGTCAGCCTCCAGATATTTTTTAGACTTACAAAATTATGGATTCATCTAATATTTTGTAAAGTCATTTGCCTTTTCTCATTTAAGCAATAGAAGAATGAAGAAAGACACTCTAGTGTTCAAAGGCCCACAGGCAGAGATGACTGCATTATTATTGAGGGTGCGGGATCAAGGCTTCTGCCTTTTCGTGTCCGGAGCGTATACTGCAAGACCAGAGAGAACGGTGACTGTTACCCGGGTTTATACCTACCTGACTGAGGTTATGCCGTGCATCTAAAAGTCTCTCCTCGAGTTCCTTTCAGTGTTCGGTGCAAATCCGATGCGCCCTGCCTCTAAGAAGGTACATCGGTAGTTCAGGGATCCATTGTCTTGAAATTAAAAGAATGTGGGTTGTTTCTACTGAAACTTAAACATATTCTTCGTTCAGGAAGCGCAGGACTCGAACACTGGCAGTAACCCTCGTCATGTTGAAAAGGGCTTAAACTCGGCCTCAGGCTCACCGTCAATGTTTTTGGAATGATCCGCGTCTTTAACAACTTCCACCGTGTGGGGAGGAACTTTAGCCTCAATCCCCGAATGAAAGCTACAAACGGCTAGGAAGAAAGTTGAATAACAACAGACGATCAGGCAGCCCCGGAGGTTTGGCGAGAAGGGTCATGAAGACGATGCCGCGCTTGTTGCTGTTGCTCTTCTGCATGTCTGTGGTCACCATGATGTTCATCGCCCGCTGCGGCCTCAACATGGACAGCCAGATGTCTCACGGCCACCAGGGGGCGCTGCCGTCTGCGGGGGGCACTCCTGGGGAGAGAGCGCTGAGGGAGGTCATGCGGCGGAAGGAGGTGGAGCACATCCGTGACAAATCCGCTTTGCAGGAGAAGATTCGAACCCTGGAGGCCAAGCTCGCTAAGGTAATTAGAAACGATTACTTATATTATTATTTTGACTGATGTCAGCACAAAGATTATAAAGTGACACCTGTACAGTTTTAAAGCTTTTGTTTATCGTCTCCTTTACTCATTTATACGCATTTTCCATTTCAATTCTAAACCATCATGCCTCCTGTTTATACTCCAATGGTCTAGGTACTCTTTGATTGTCAGATATACATTACTGAAATTAACTTTCGTTCAAAACTTGGTGTGCGGTTTCTTAAAGAGAAGTGTTCGTAGAAGCATGACAGTCTAGCACTGCACAATTTTTTGATTTGGGCGACATTTGTTATACAATAGTGTTTGCCTTGTCAGAATACAACGTAAAGCAGTCTAAGACTTCAACGAAGTTTTAATAATACAAAAGCTTTTGATGGTCACCAATGCGCAGTTCCCTGGTTTGCTGACTGGTGGATGCACCTTGCACAGACACAGCTTAACAATCTGAGCTTGGTTCATTGTCTCTGAAAGCCAAGTCCCATTCAGGAGGTTCACAATATGTCTGACTTGCCTCAATTAACTCAAAATATCTATCAGCGATAATGGGTATTTCTTTGAATTACAGCTCTGTCTTGGTCAGATTAATGTGTGCTTTGGAATATTTTCGTCGGCAGACGTGGGGATACTTTGATACCCCCCCCCTCTCTCTCTCTCTCTCTCTCTCAAAGTCTCTGTCTTACTCAAACACTGATGCACTCACTGATTCACTCACTCTCTATTTATCTCTACCACGCCCCCTCTCTCTTTGCTATCTCTCAGCCTATCAGTCTGTCTCTCAGTTTGTGTGTGTGTGTGTGTGTGTGTGTGTGTGTGTGTGTGTGTGTGTGTGTGTGTGTGTGTGTGTGTGTGTGTGTGTGTGTGTGTGTTTCGCTTCCAAACCTTCCTATAAAAATACACAATTCTCCATAACGTGTCTGATAACATAATATGTCTGAGACTCCTAAGCCCTAGACCAAAGAAATATCACGATAGACATGGTGATCTTTTCCTGAGACAAAAAGCAAAATGCCGTTATTGCCCCTGTGGACTGTTTTACGGAGGGACTTTTTGGGAGACGAAGGAATAGTGTAAAATCGTGTTGCTTTAACCTTCAGGGAATTCGCAGAAGCAGGCCCCACATTCCACGGGGTGGCCTATATTTACGCAGATCTCCCACTGTCTTAGCGGGTTCGTTGATCTGAAAGGAGGAGAGGGCGCTTTTTGTTCTACGACGGGTGTTTATCCAGCTAATGTTTTAGGTTGGATAAATAAGTGTTATGTAGCTAAAGGACAAAAGCTGCGTCAGAGGATTTCGGATCAGTACTTTTGGAAAGAAGGGGGGGGGGGGGGTTGGAGCGCTGTGTGAGTTGAGTAATACTTTAAGGCCAACAAGAAGGAACCCTTGGAAACATGCTGATTGTTTTTTAAAATATTCTATTGAATGTACGTGCTGGTGTTTTACGCCCCCCCCCCCCCCCACTCCGGGACACGATTCAGGTCATATATGAGGCTGGTTTCGACTCTGCCTTTCAGGGCTAACCCGTGCTGAAAGGGGTTGGACTTCCTAGATAAAAGAATGAGTTACTGGATAAAAATTCTCTCCACACAGGAATGGAACTCTGGTCATCTATGTGCCACGGTGAAGTGCCTCACCGCTACCCCACAGCGACCGGTCAACTTCTCTATGTTTATGCCGAAACTGAGCTGTGGCGGTATAAAACCATTGATTACAACAACTTTTGTATCAGAATATTCTAAGACTGTAAAGATGAGGGTTCCGGCTCCGTAGTTTAGAAACTGGGAGATTAAACATATCGTTATTGTCATTAAGCCCTCGTTTTGTTAGGGTGAGAATTGAGGTGAAAAGGTTAGAGCGTAAGTGCCTCTGGGGGGACCTCAGAAATTTTCAAAATGTGAATAAGAAAATCGGGATTGTAAGAAGTGATTATTCATATTTCAGTAAATTTTTCTTGTCCGTTGCCAATTATCATTTTTGCAGCAGCATGAACACAGTAAAATAGGGTTCATTTTTAAGTACCTTATCGGTGGATAAAACGTCCTGCCGGACTGAACAGGGAATTGAGGTCCCAACCTTATTATCACTAGTCCGACTTATTACACGTTACTTCGTGTGGACATATTGGAAGAACGCTTTGGTGTTTGTTTATACTCCACGCTTGACAAAGTGTTGTTTTGTTGGAGCGCTTCAAGGCGGTGCCCATTGGAAAATCGGTTCTATTCGGTTCCGCCGTATTTATTCGGAGACGGTTCCGACGGAAATAGACCAATCAAAATGCTTTGTGCCTCCAGACCAAGTTAAAAAATCTGGGGGGTTAAAGGGGGCAAGCCCTGTTTTAACCCATAATTTGATATTTTGCAGTTAAGTTTGACATTTAAAAAAAAATAAAAAAATTTTGCCAATGTTTTAGTGGCTGTATGTGGGATCGGAGTCTGCAGCAAATAATACGCAGTTTGACCCTCCAAAGCAGTGCATCTGTTCGCGGGAGTGCGTCTCCGAATAGTTCCTTGGTGCTCGCCGGAGACGTCTCTGAATATCTTCTGCCATTCGGTTCGGTTCGCTTTCTGGCGGCTTCAGTGCACACTATAAATAGACCAACTGCCCACACCGATCGTCCATTGCGTGCGCGGCCTAGAAAACAAACACGTTTGTTATTAAATATCATCATCGCCATGGAGGACAATGCGGCTAGCCCCAAACCGATAAACCGACAAAACCGAACCAAACCGAACCGATGATGCTAATGGGCACCGGTTTTAAGGTCCGTGCCGGTATTTCAGAGAGAGAGCGATGTGCGTGAGGAGTGAGTGAGTGCCTGGTGCAATCTCCTTCTATCTCTGACAGATAAAAGGGAGACTGGCACGGTCGGTCAGTGCGTAAACATAATCCACTGAGGGTAATTTTGTGCGTGGTACGAGATTTCTGAGACATGTTCTTTCCGTGTAACGTTAGCTGAAGCGCTGAAAGTTCTTTTTTTTTAAACAGTAAAACCGAGAGATTAGATGTTCATGGTTTTTGGTCCGTAATATAATCCGTTGGAAGTTTGCCATCTCGCACCAGAATTGTGCGACTTTAGTTATATTGACTTATGATATGCATGTACACTTGGTCATTTCTTTCTAGTTTACCGAGACGTTTTGTTCTATAGCTTTTGCTCATAATTTGTTAGGGACGTGTGTTTATGATTCTAGCTTTTGTTCAATGCATATTGAAACTTCTTTTTAATGAGATATATTTATGGCTGTTTGTTACCGAGGTGGCGATAAAGACACGGAAGAGACGGATTTTAGAGGGGAATTGGAGGGG